AAAAAACGCATAATCTCTAAATCAGCTGAAAAATATGCCACCATCTTTATGCCTCCTCTAGTCTCTCATTCAGAAGAATCATGAGAAGAGACAAAGTATCCCTCAGGTGATCGCTCCCACTCCCCACATGGTTTTTCTAAAGGTTTGGCCTTGGATCTATATACAACACTTTCCCTGTGGAAGTTGAGGTTGCCAGAACTAGCACTTCCTTTCAACTGCCTAACTTTTAGACTGCTGGGTCAGAATCAAACAATTTAATCAGTAAAGAGGCCTTAAACAATCTGGCAGTTCCTCAAAAGGTGAAACATAGGGTTACCATATGACCTAGCAATTCTACTCCTAGCTATACACCCAAGGGAACTGAAAACATATGTCCACACAAAAACTTGTATTCAAACGTTGATGGAAGCATTAGAGGTATTCACGGTAGCCAAAAAGGGAAAACAACTCAACTGTCCAGCAACTGATAAATGGACTAAAAATGTGGTATATCCATACAATGGAGTATTATTCAGCTACAAAAGAAATAAAGTACTGATACATGCTACAACATGGATGAACCTTAAAAACATTAAAAGAAACCAGTCACAAAAGATCACGTAGAGTATTTCATTTATATGAAATATCCAAACAGGCAAATCCATAGAAACAAAAAGTATTAATGGATTAGTAGTTGCCTAGGGCTGGGAGGAGGGTGGTTGGGATGTAAGGAAATGGGGAGTGTCTGTTATGGGGAACAGGGTTTTTTGGGTGTGTATGTGTGAGAAAATGTATGAAAAGTTGATTGTGGTGATGACTGCACAACTCTGTGGATATACTAAAAATAATTTAATTATACATTTCAAATAGGTGAACTGCACAGCATGTGAACTATATCACAATAAATCTGTCATTTTAAAAGGGTGGGCTTTAACGTAGTTTCATCAATCTATTTCATTTTTCAAATCTATTCCTTTTTTTAACCTTGAAAAGGACATTTAAGAGTAAAACTTACTTGCTTAGTCTGTCAGCCTAACTAAATCTTAAATGTTTCCTAAGAAAGGAAAGGAATATATACACTAAATGATCACAGCAGAGCCACAAATTCAGGTATCTGACAGGTCAAGGTTAAGTGAAAAATGAATTAAAAACAAAAAGAAGGCCGGGCGAGGTGGCTCACGCCTGTAATCCTAGCTCTCTGGGAGGCCAAGGCGGACGGATTGTTTGAGCTCAGGAGTTTGAAACCAGCCTGAGCAACAGCAAGACCCCGTCTCTACTAAAATTAGAAAGAAATTAATTGGACAACTAAAAATATATAGAAAAAATTAGCCAGGCATGGTGGCGCATGCCTGTAGTCCCAGCTACTCAGGAGGCTGAGGCAGGAGGATCGCTTGAGCCCAGGAGTTTGAGGTTGCTGTGAGCTAGGATGACGCCACAGCACTCTAGCCCGGGCAACATAGTCAGACTCTGTCTCAAAAAAAAAAACAAAACAAAACAACAACAAAAAGAACAAACACACCCAAAGATTTTCATAAAACTATAAGTAGGCCAAAAATAGAAATATAATCACATTCTTCCATGGAAGTTTACATAGTGCTAATATTCTACAACTCGTTGTAATTGTCAAGCTCAGCTCTGTGGCAATATGTAAAAAAAAAACAAAAAACAAAAAAACAAAAAAACCACTTAGAAAATTATTCTATCACACAGCAAATAGCTTTTGAAGTATTTCTGAAGACATTTCAATGACAAGGAAAAATGTTCATGATGTAAAGCTACATAAAAATTAACTCATAAAGCTACTGAAAGAATATTCTAAGTACATGAACACAAAAATATATCAAAATTTCAAAAAGGATTTTCCCTGGACTGTGGAATTATGGGGGACTTTTTTTTCTTTTATACTTCTCTGTTTCACAAGTTTTCTACAAGAAGTATGCCTTACTTTTATAATCAAAAAAAAAAAACAAATCCTGAACAGTTTCATATGTAGTATCAAATATATGATATATAACAGACATTACATCAACTGGTACAACCCAGTTTTTAAATACTTGGATCAAGACTGTGGCTGGGAACACAGAGCTGGCACTATCTTAATCACCCAGCAGCAGTATTCCATACTAACCTCCTCCCAACCGCATCGGATTCTACTCATTCCATTTTACTTCCCCCAAAATAAACTCAGCATTTATAGTCTGAACAAAGTTCCCCAGGTAATTTTGCTATCCTCCCACTCCCATCCTAACTCCTTTGAGAAACACTGATCTAAGTAAAAAGCTTTTACTGAATCTTCCAGGATACCCATACAAACTAGCTTGAATTTAAATAATCAGTCAAGAGCACTATGATTAGCCACAAGAATGTGGCCAACAGGGTCACTACAGGGAATGAAGTGGTAGAAGTCTTTGGCTTTTAGTTCCAAGTAAAAATCCAAGAAAATATACTAGAGGAACAGGCACAATTCAAATAATACAACCGGTATTTTTGTTTTACATTAAATAGCATAAATGCTATAAATAGTATTAAAATGTCCTAAAGGTTCTCTGAAAATACTACATCAATAATATGTCTACTTAAGAAAAACACAAAGCAACTCATAAAACGTATTTACTAAAAGTGTACAGAGCAGATTGGCAATTTGATTTAGTACAAAAGAAAAAAGAATCTGGACTATGTTTTGGGACTACAATCAGCATTTTAAAATGAGATCAGGTCCTGTGGAATGTTTTCCCCTAATGTAGAGAAATTTTCACTTGTACTCTCATTTAACACTAGGGAAAAAAACTAACCATAGCTATTCTGCTAGGCATCTTTTAAAAATACCATCACTTGACTTTGAGTTAAATTAGAATGTAACATCATTGAAAATCAAGGCAGACAAAATTTTTCTTTGAGGACTGAAATACTAAAACTCTTTACTAATACAGTGTGTTGAACACAGGAACAGACAGGAGACTGGAAAAAGCTGAAAATCACTTTAGACTGAGAGCTCCTGAGCGAAAAGACTGTGCCTTATCTTTGGATTCCTGGTGCCTGGCACAGAGGAGGTCAATAAACACTTGCTAAATTAAAAGAGGTAACTGTGTTTGGACTAGAATTCTCACCAAAAAATATGAAGAAAGATTGTCCAAAACCAAGTATTTAATTTGAATTCGTAACACATAGAAAAACAGAATCATTTACGCCATTTTCCCCCAACTGTTTCTTTTCTTCCAATAACTTTGAACAACCCACTAAAGAAGTTTCTTAAGTATCTGTCATCATAAAAAGGTGTGTCTGACTTAAAAGGTTACAGATCAAACATTTTAAAATACATAAAATGTCTTTATGCCTATAAAGTATACAAATATCCGGAAAATAAAATATGAAGAGGGCAAGGTACAAATCAGATTTTTTTAAATATTTCAATTTACAAGTTTAAAATACATAAAAATGGTGGTAGGCCTAAACTTTCCCAAATGTTAACAAGAAATAAACATTTAAAAAATAACTATGTTTCTCTGACAGAGAAATGCACAGTTACAAAATATAATTTTTTTCAAAGCAAATTTCTCACAGACCCAGCAAGATGTCCGTATCTGTTAAAGACACACAAAGTCTTAAGCAGTGAACACTGACTGCAGGCACCAGAGGGCCTCCCAGGTATAACTTGATAGTAAAAGAAAAGGTAAGTAAGAGTTCCTGGTAAAACTTTCTTCCTATTCAGTCTTAAGACTGCTGGAAACCTTTCACATCTGGAGCAAATAAACGGTATTTAGTTACAGAACGGACACACACAGAACTGATGTTTTAGATACCGCCATTTTCGTTGAAAAAGCAACTAGCCCCTTTCCCCCCACCCCCATCATACAACCTTCTTTGGTGATTTTCCAAATATAAGTACATACTGCTTCACTGTAGCAAACAATTATCTTCAGGTAATCTGAAAACAAGTAGCAGCAGCACATATGCCAACCTTCGACCGTGTCTGACAAAGAGAACTCTCAACTGTTTAAAAAGGCCTAAATGCTTTTCTACACGCTCACAAAACAATTAGTGATGACGCAAATTTTAGGGTAAAGAGACTCTCTGGCAAAAGACTGCACTTAACTTTGAATAATATCCTCAAATGAATCAATACATTTAACTCCTGGCCTGTCCCACTTCTTCCCTTTCCCCCCCCCTACCTTCCAACAAACATAAAAGTCCAATTAAAACACCAGGGCCTGGAAACTTCCCATGTTACGAAGACTTGTAAATACCTTTAAACACCAGAGGCTTTACGAAAAAGAAACCTTTGCTAAGTTTGTGCGGAAATTAAGCTCTGCTCAAATCTGTTAAAATTTCAAACCCGAAAGCCAATCCCTTCAGCAAACCTATCTACATATCGCATATTTCTTACGTGCATCTTCGGTTCGATCAAAGATTTTGTTTTACTATTTGTTTTTACGCCAAATACTAGTAGGTAAATTCCCGCTAATTTTATCCTCTCTTTAAGAGTCCATTCTATAGCATCGTGTAAGAATGCAGAACAAATGAAACAGTCCTATTAAAGACAAGGATTTTTTGTTGTTTTCAATTTATAAAATTTACCCTCGGAACAACAAGCAGAGGCAGCGAAGGGCAATGCACAAAGAGAACAGAGAAGAAATACATTCCACGGACATACAATGCCCAGTGGCAGGCATCCTTGTACCCTCCTACGAAGGGTCGCCGGCCGCGAGCACGACGGGGAGGGGAACCCAGCGGCCTTTCTGAAATGCTGTCTCCCAAAGATGAGCTGCTCTCAGTTCCAGCCCGGTGCGCGTCGGCCCCCGAAGGTCCGCGGGGACGGCTCCTTCTCGCCCGGCCTCCTCCGACCGCGCTCCCGGAGGCCGCTCCTCCGTGCGGAGCAGCCTCTTCGCCCCCTCCTCGGCTCGTCCGCCCCGCCGCGCTCCCGAAGACTTGCCTCGGGTAGGGAGAGGGGTCCCCTCGGGTTTTGGCCGCGGAGGGGGCGATGAAGGAACGGAGGAGGCGCCCCGCCCCGGGCCCGCACTCACCCTCCAGCAGGCGGGTGATGAGACTGTCCACGTTCAGCTCCCCGTCCGCCATCTTGTCGGCACAGACTCTCCTCCCGGCAGCGGGAACAAGGGCTTCTCGGCGGCGGAGGCTGCGGCGACGGCTCGGCGTTCTCTCACCTACAAGTCACGCGGCGTTTCGACCCCGGCTCCAACTCCCCCAGCGCCCGGGCCCTCCCCCCACCCCCTCCCAGCCGAGCAGCGAGAGCGCGCACACACTCGCAGGCACCCACGATAAATAAATAAATAAACACGCAGGGCCCCCACGAACCGGGCAGCGTCAGACCCAGGCCGCCACCTCCTCCTCCCCGGCACCGCCCAGTTCCGCAAGGCTCACCAGCGCCGCCGACGGCCCCACCCGCAGCGCCGCTCACTCCACACGGCCCCTGCCCTCCGCCGCGCCACGCAGCTCCGCGCAGGCGCACCGCGTGCGCGCGCGCGCAGCTCCCCAGCCACCCGAGCCTTCGCGCAAGCGCACTGGACTGGCTTCGTCCGCCGCGGCCGCCTTCGCGCAGGTGCGCCGCCCTCGCTCCCTGTCCCCGTCCACTGCGCCGAATCGCCGCGGTGGCGCAGGCGCCCGAAGTTCCCGGGCTTTGCCGCGCCAAGGCGGCTGCTATTACGCACAGAGCGCGTAGGCAGGGCTGGCGTTCCCCTCCCCTGTTGCCCGGGTCTCGGCCGTTCGCAGAAGCCGTAGCTGTGCCCTTCCTGCCTGGCTTTCCTTTTCTTGGCTCCATTCCTTGGTTTTGCAAACAATTTCTCAGGTATCTGTTAATTCAGAAACGCAGACTGCAGTTACCCGTGTTTGAAACCCCAGTTCGCGCGTGTAGGAAGCGTGCTGAAAAAGTTCGACATTGTAAATGCGGGGTTTTATACACTGTCGTTCCCCAAGGCTAGTTCTGCAAGCGTTCCTAAATGAAAGAAGTGTAAAGTGGGCCCTGGAAGAGTCAGCAATAATAAAATCTTACATGGGTACCGCTCTGCCTTCTCTCTAGCACTGTCACATATCTTTTGTCTCCATCTACTTTGTGGGTGCTATTTTTCCACAGTGCTTTTCTGTTCATACCTCCAGTATATTGCTTAATCATCCTACCTAGTAATTGTTTGTGCATTTGTCTCCCACACTCGAGTCAGCTCCTAGGGGATAAAAACACATTCAGCTTTGTGCCCACACACCCACCAAGTATTTCCACACCGCCGTATTGCCTCTAGAAAGGCAGGAAGAAGAGTAGCCGCCCCAAGGATCTCGGCAAGCCAGAGGTTTTGGCCTATTTTAGGAGGTGGTCAGACCTTGGTCATTTGACAGGTGTTTTTCCAGAAACCCAGACATGCTGCTGCCCGAAGTCCAAGGCAGTGCTCCTCCTACCACTCACATGTCACTAATAATGGCTAACATTGTTGAGGTCCCTGTATGTGTTCTGGCACTGTTTTAAATGTTATATACGTGTTACATCACTTAATTCTTACAACAGCCCCATGAGATAGGTACTGTTATTATCCCTATTTTGTAGATGGGACTAATTGTGGTACAGAATGGTTAAATACCTAGCCCTAAATCACACGAGTAAGCAAGCAGCAGAGCTAGGGTTCAAACCCATGCATCTAGTGCCAGAGTCTGTACTCTTAACAGTTGTGATATGCTCTCTCTCAGTGTATGTGAGCTGAGATGTTTAAATATACATGTGCTATAGCACAAGCTTGCAGAGTAGAAACTGTAGGTTTTGGGGGAAGGAAAAAAAAAACATTGTCCAACCAAGTGCTTTATAATGTCCAGATGACGTATAGAGCTAGGATTTCCTAATGCCTTTTTTTCTGGTTTTCTCTCCATTTCAGGATTTAGCTTGTGCATTGATGGTGAACATAGAACAGGCAACAGGCTATAATGGTGGTCCTGTCTGGAGTACTTTTCACAAACTGCAGTAATCTGTACAGATGAACTGACAGTAGTCTGCAGTTTTCACAGATTATTGCCAGTTCATTTGGGGGCTTTCAGGGGTGAAGAAATATGTCGTCATCACTCTTTCTTGTTTTGTTAAAGTACATTGATTTATACCCTACTTCATTCCAGAAGAAGGGATTTAGTGTAGCTTACATAAATTTGTATAGCAGGGTAAATTAAAAATAAATACAGAGAAAAATAGGATGAAAGAAAACTGTGAGTGGGAAAGATAAGATTAAGCCAGCAGTTTTATAGGCAAAATGCATGGCGTAAGGTCCTATTGGTTTGCTAGAGATAGGCCACAAATATGACTCTCAGCTTTCTAGCAACCAAGGAAAAGATCAGTTACAAGTGGAGTAGGTGTTTTGGCTATGCTGGAACTGGGACTTGAATACAGCAACTTGTGGAGTTGAATGCCACTTCCCCAAATCTCTCCCATGAGCCTCTTTAAGTGTAACAGAATGCCTGGGAGCATTTAAATAGGTGTCTGCTTATCCTCTAATTTTTATGGGGCCCATGAATGCCATGAAAAAGAACTTCGAACAAACCCTGTCCACAATTAGGCTTCATATTATGCAGACATGTTTAAAGGACAAAGGACACCCAAAGGAAACTGGATTGCACAAAGAAAGTGTATGCCTCAGAGAGCTAATCCCCACAAGTGGAGCAGAGTGAGGTCAGTCTCAGCAGAGTTCCAAAGGTCAGAAGAGATAGGAGAGTGGCTCTGAGTACTGCCTGCTGTGTCTCCTCTATCCCTACCAGCTTTTCTAGTGCTTTGGAATCCTGGGAAAGAATGGACCATTATAAAAATGAAGAGCTTTATCACTAGGGGTCTGACCAACTTATCTGTGGCATCTCCCTCTAAAATAATTATATAAGAATTCAGAATGCTTCAGATTTTGAAGTCAAACTGGTGCATATGCTATAAGTTACTTAATACCCCAACAGCTTCTGGGACAGCTCACCATAATCCAAAATATTAATTTCCTTTTGAATAAAATCATATGAATATTCACATCATGCAAGATTTGAAAAATTACAATTAGCGTCATATCAGTTCAGGTCAAATTTGCCACTAAAGTAGCCACCCTCCCTTTTTCAGAGTAAAATGTGTTTATTGTAGGAAATTTGGAAAGTGAAGAAAAAAAATCTAAAAATCACCTATAATTTCACTAGCCATTGATAACCATTTTCCTGACTTATTTGTGAATAATCCTTGTTAAACACTTAACAGCACACCATCTGGCTTAGGGAGACATTTGGGTCATGCATGTTAATTCCAGAAATGTCTGTGGAGGGAAACCCCGATCTTTATTTGGACTTCCTGATTGCAAGGGACTTAGGGGATCATGATTTGGGGAATCTTAATAAAATTATGATCTTTTTTTACTTACTAACAGGTAATGCCTGTGTCTATTAGATAAAGGCAGACCAGTGCTCAGAGGAACCCAACCATCACTGTGTTGAGACCATAGAGATGTCCCTATGGATTGTCCTCACAGAAGGCACTTTGAAACACAGCAAACAGCAGCCTTGTGACTCCTTTTAGAAAACACAGTGAAGACTTTCATAGGGATGTTTTTCTTATATGCTTCTCAATATTCACCAATAGCCAATATGGTGTGAAAGTAAGTAGGTTTAGGTAGCAAAATGTAGAGGTTGTGATATACAGCTCTTTGCTGCCCTGACTTAATGCAAGATGTCTTTTAAGTGAACAAATCAACATTCATTGGGCTGTCTTTCCATAAAGGATATTCCCCTCAATCAAGTCTTTAATAAGCCTTGAGTAGCATAAGTTTAAATTTTACTAGGTCTACCTGGAGGACAGCCATTTTTTATATCAAATGTCATAGGCTTTTGTAGTCTGCTCAATTCAAGAAAATTGAAAAACCAGACAATGACATGTGCAATAACAGGAGGCCACCCCTCTCAATACAGAGGCAGGCCTGGGTGTGCCGCACCCAGGCAAGACCACAACTTTTCCTTGATATTTGGTTTTGGTTTCATTTCTGCATACATATGAGAGAATAATCAAGGTGCCAAAGTTACCAGCTAAGCCATAAGGCATGTCCTCACCATTTTAGCCTAAAAAATTATAAAACAAATATAATCAAATACCTCTTTCCCTGTCCTTGGCCAATAACCTTCCCTATACCCCCAATACACACACACAAACACACACACACACACATTCTCAGTGGAGCATTTTATTTTAAAATAACTCTCTAGTATATCCTTCAACATAAACTGATTGCAAAATAAATGCCTAGTAATTGAAGGAGTTAACTGGCTATTTTAGAACTGTTAACTATAAGGCAATTAAAGTTGGATGAACAGCTCCCACAAATAATGACTATTTAATTGTTGAAGAGTTGATCTGTGGCCCTTCTTTTTTTCTTGTAATTAGATTACAGGGCCGGTTGTCTATTTAGGTCAGTCCTAGTTTGTTACAACAAAACCGTGTCCTCTACATATGTAAGAATGTTTCTCTTTCCATGCCCTCCCATCCTGCTCATTCAAACAAGGTATGAGGAAATAACTGATAATCGCTTGTTGGTGAAGAAAAGTATACAAAATGTGAATCTTTGTTTCAAATAAAACAATTTACTGTAAATACTTTGTTTCTAATGATAGTTGCTCTCTTCTCATACAGTATATCCAAATTATGTATGATTCACCTTTTCAGTTGGAGGTTTATTTCTGAATGATTTCATAAATCTCTGTTTTATAAAATGATTTCATAAATCTCTGTAAATAAGACAAAGAAAGCATTGAGTTTTCTAATGTAGTTATAAAATTAGTGGCTTCTCACAAAGTGTAAGACCACATTAAAATCAATAGCATATATTTCCTAAAACTAAACCAAATGTATCTGTGAGCTGTGAAAAATATTCATCAGGGTTACATCCAACACCAATAGGTCCTTTCATGTAGAAAACACTGGTTCAATAGAATATTTATGAATTATTATTTAAATCTTGCTTTAAACCAGATCCAGTCTACTATAAATAAATTCTTAATTGAAATGCTCTGTGGTACTTGTTATTTAAAGAAATCTTACACTGAATAGACCTCTAAGGCAAAATGAATAATGAACCAATTAAGTATTTATGAAACACTTAGAGTGTTTGAGTCTGTGCTGAAGAAGACATGACATCCCAACTTTCAAGTAATTTAATGACTCTGTGGGAAAATGACCGCAAAATGATTTGGAGAGTGGGGAAAAGCATTGGCTTGGACTTGGGAGACCAAAGTGGCTGAAAAAACTTAGACAAATCTCTTTCTGAATCTTGGCTTCACTACCTACAAAATGTCTCCCTTAATAAATGATCTCCAAAGTTTCTTCCAGCTCTAACAAGTCTTTGATTCTAAGACAGACAAATGAAGCCCAAAATGTAACATAATATCGTACATGCTGTC